AACAGACAGCCACAGGCATAGAATAAATGTTTGTATTTACTTTTCTAAATTTCTTTTCCTCATGTCACTCTCCCCTTAGGAGGCGGCAGAGCTCTTTGGGCCCGACAAAATTGGAAAGCCCTGCTAATGACCCTTGACCCCTCCGCTCCCACCCCCACCACTTTGCCCCAACCCAGAGACACAGTTCTAGTTTTCTACTAATAACACTATTCATGTTATTAATCTTAGGATATACTAAACGTTTGGAAAGGCACATTCCTGGCTTTTACACTTGATTTTTGTTGTTTAAATATTAATAAATATGTAAAAATATATGAAACCATTACTGTCCCCGTTTCCTAATTTCATCTCGATAAGATGTATTGATTTTTATCCAAAAGCAAGAAATGTCCCCAGATTTGATTTCAGAAATCTGGTCACCTTACTCTATAACATGTTCAGTATGAGGTAGCGGGAGCTACAGTGCTAGCCAGTTCACTATAGTTATTAGCTTCAGCAACACTTGACTCGATCAGTCTGCAGTGAGCATTAGCATTCAGTTAAACTCTTAAACCATCAGCAGTTGAATCAGAACGCTTATTACAAATAAAACACCAACATGACTATGTATTCTACCTAGTTTACCCAAGCAGAGCACTTATTAAGCTTCAGATGAAAGGATGATGTTACTGTTTGGTTCGATGGAGTGAAGGCCTTTGGATCGGTCTGGTTTTCTGCAGGCCTCGTCTTCAGTCCAGTCTGTTCTTCCAACAGCAGCTCAAAGAGATTTGGATCAATCCGTTGCAATTATAAGAGGTGATTTTGCAAGGGGTTAGTTTTATAACTCACTCTAGCATGGGACTTCTCCCTTTTAGCTACAATGGTTAGCTTGTAGCCGCAGACTCCAGCAGTACCTCCTCTGCTGCTCCATCTGAGAAGACAAACACTAAAACCCCCTCACTCCAGGACAGGACAGGAACCAGAACATGAACCATAAAATAAAGTAAACAGGCAAACTAATGGGCATAAACAAACAGACAGCAAACAAACATTAAACAATGATCTGACCTCGATAGCTGGGCTGGACCGAATATAAAGCAGAACCTACTGGTGGGTGAGATCAGAGATGATTAGGAACTGGGCAGAACTGCAGTGAGTGAAATGAGCATTTAAGGCCAGCTGTCAGAACAGATCATGACACCGTCTCCCTGTCTCAGGCTGTCACAGGTCTAGCGGCTTCTCATGGCTCCTTCGGCAAACAGCGATTTGAGCCACATTCGGCCTGATTTCGGTTAGCAGAGGTGGATTAGCTCTTCTCTGTGTGCTGCAGCAGGCTTCAGGAACACTGCATTCACCTTTGTTTGAATCGCAGGAAGAATAAAAACACTGCATTCAGCTCCTTCTGAATCGCAGGAAAAAGGCAGTTTGACTCGGTCCAGCGAGCAGCGACTTCACCAGAGGGATTTGGTCACTACTTAGCGTAGCCTTCAGCTGGAGGCACATGAGCATCTAGCCTTTGGAAGTAGAGGACCACCTGCAAAATAAAAAGTTGAACAGGAAGTTCCAGCTTTTAACCTCCGCTAGAGGGGTGTGTCTTCAGAGAGGAGTAGTTCCGGTTACATCAGTGGCACTTGATCCAAACACCTTCTGATTGAGATATAAGTTTTTTTTTTTTAAACAAACTTCTCCTTTTTTATTTTAGTTAACATAATATATTAATATATTTATATATTATTATTATTATTAATATATTTAATAAAGATGGGCTGGTGTGTCTGCATCGCCTTTTGTGGTTTATTAAGGGCTTCTTAGACTGGCAGATAACCATGGGGGCAACAGGAGAGGAAATTAGCTTGTTGAACAGATCTTGCCTCTTGCCTTCTCACCGTCTCTGTTTAACAGACCTCTCAGTGAATATAACTCATTAAATAGCCATCATAGCCTCGCCTTGCCGCAATAAACAAACAAAGGATTTAGTTCAGTTTGGACCGGAGATAATGCAGCTATGACTGAGATGCAGAACGGTTGAGCATAGAGAAGAAATGTGAACAAAAGGCAGTGTGAGAATAAGAAAAGAGCGATATCTGTAACATAGACAATGGCTGTGGGGATTACATACAAGAGGAGGTAAAGTGTTTGGAGGTAATAGCCTAAGGCCACATTTTCCAACTGAAGGTTAAGCTATCTGTGAAAATAAGGTAAAATGGCTTTGTAGGTGTAATGGTTTTTTCTGTCCTATAGAGCTTCATAATGCTCAGATTGTTCCTCCAAAAAATGCCTGAGGAGATATTATACTCTGTGGAAGCACAACGCAGCTGGAGCTCATTAGGATTCACATGTGCAGTTATGTTGTCAGGCAGCAGACTGATGCTGTGCGAAAGAGCAGAGTTCAGCACTTTCCTGAGATAACTTTCCAAGCATTTACATCTTTTGTCGGTGTATTTCACCTGTGCAAATTTCTCCAAATTATCATTCATAAGGTATATTATAAATTGCCTTTCTTTGTTATCTCAACACCTGAGGTTTGGCGTGAGCTGAAGTCTAATATGGTGCAAAGCTTAACCGTTGTAACAGCCATCAGCTACTTCAAATTGCTTTGAGGCACTTAATAAGTAGATTTATTAGACATTAATCCGAAATAATGAGTCCTGCTGTTGAGTTAACAATTAATAACCATTGGAATAAAAACATGAAGGTTAGTGTAAGGGAGAAGGAGAAACAAATCAATGTAAAAACTAATTATTTTTAGGCTATAGAAAGAAATATCAGTATCTTTGAATCAGTTATTATTTTACTGTAATCGCCACAAATTAATTTCCACTACTTATGATAGAAAAGATTTGACAAGATAACTTTTTTATTGTCCCCTAATAAACTTTTAACTTCAACTTTTTTTATTACAATGTCATAAGTACAGAGCACCTAAATGACCTCTGTGCATTCAACTCATTCCCCTTGGGGAGGAGTGGGCTGTTATTGTGCAGCGCTCGAGGAGCAGTATGGGGTTAAGGGTCTTGCTCAGGAAGCCAGAGTGGCAGTGTGTGGGAGTGGGGCTCGAACCCAGAACCTTTGAGACCTAAGCGCAATGCTCTAACCACTAGGCCACCACTCCCAATAACTAATTGTCAAAAAGGGTTTAGCCCCATTATGGGGATATTTTGGTATGGCACCGCAAAAACACTTGGACCAGACTGAACAATATTAATAAAAACATATATACATGCCAAACAAAACAGCTGAGAGGAGCAGAAGTTACAGATATGTTTGATTACTGTGATTGCCTCAAAAGGTAACATCATTTTTTGTCTAGGACTGTTACATGAGTTATTTGTCATTAAATGTTTCTGCTGACGCATAGCTATAAAGCAATGTTCTGCTTTCATTTACCAATTTTTATAGATATTTTTTTCATGAAAAGAGGGTACCAACAATTTTGTCTACATGTGTATAAGTCTTCACCTCTGTATGGATTTTACTCTGAATCTTTACCTGTAATAAGTTATATTCTTTGATCTGCATGATGGATATAAATAAGGATAAAAAGAGTTTCATATTTGCAGTGAATTGGAACAGAACAAGTACTGACTTTCTATGTGTGGGTTATTCCTTTGTGATCTATTGTTTATGTCCCAAGGAGGGTCTGTACTTAGAAAGTTAAAAGTGCAAATGGAGATCTCTATTTGTCAAATATATTGTTGATCGTTTGGTGCCAAAATCATAATTGTAATATAAATCAGATTAGCTACAGAGTGATGGTGAACATTTATTGCAAGTCATTTTACAGACGATTCTGAGATGCTTACTTGAATTAAGGATGTCCCAGTGAACAGCCAAACTGTTATAAAGTCCACGTCATTCAGCTTCAAAATATATTCAATGTAAGTGAATAAAAGTCCTCTTTGAAATTTTTTGGGGAATTTAAAACTTATTGGTACATCTTATTCACTGCATGAAATATAAAACAAGCCTCAAACTGACAACTCATAAGTTGAGTTGAGTTAATAAATTAAATAAATTAAACCCAAGTTTATATTTCTCATTATCATGTGTTGTTTTATCTTTGTTCTTGAAATGTGGTATTAAAAATATGATCTATGATCTTTTTTTTTTTTTTTTTGCTTGTCACCATCTGGCAGGAAATAAAAGTAACTGTAACTTGACCAAACTTTTTCTGAAGGGTTTGTTGGATTACTTCTGATGAAATTAAGTCTAAAACATCTATTTTTCTCTCCCCTGCTAGCTCTGCTGCTTCTCTATGATGTCACCAACAGAGCATCCTTTGACAACATCAGGGTAAGATTAAACACCTTCAAAGATGTTTCTTCTTCTTTCTTTCTGTCCAGTACTGCAGTGTTCATTGCACTCTTTGAGATGGTTTTCACAATATCATTACATTATGCTGCATGTGCAGAGCCCCTTTTTAAAGTCCAGATTGTTTACTTTATCTTTCACTGACACAGCCTTGTTTGCGAGGCATTTGAATTCTTCAGAACATCATGTCTCTAACATTAGTCCTTTTTTCGCATTTCTAACATCTCTTTATTTATGTAAGAGTTTTTCAAAGCTGCAAACAAGCTGAAACTCATTGCGGGGATGAGATAATGAACGAGGCCACGGAGTGGGGATCAGAACAGTGGCAGCAAATAAGGGAGGTTGTGAAACTGAGCCGCTTGGGTGTGCAGATAAGAGCACACAGTGTCCCCTAATAGATGGATCTCTTTGTAGTCTGTTTCTCTGTGGTGTCTGAAGTCTACCCCTCTGTAATTTTTCAGCCTTCTCCTGTTCCATTTGGTGTAGCTCTCCTCTTCTCTTTTAGGTGCATTCCCCTCCTTTGATGAACACTTAACAAGGATGAGAGCAATGGGAGTCTCTTGCATGTAAATGATATTGATGCGTTTGTGTGTCTAGAACTATAGCTGTGCAACTTCAGTGTACATACACAATGTGCACAACTGGAGCTTTTTATGTCATATATTCACTAATGATAGCTAAAGAATTTAGTTTGGCAGTTTCTCAGTATGTGTACTTGTGCGCTCTCGTGTACTCGCATCAGAGCAGACTTGTCCTTTCTTGAGATTGACAGCTTTCCCAGCATGCACTGCGGCAACAGCAGCTTTCAATGGAGCGCTCTATTGAAAATAAATTTAAGTTTTAAGATCATTTGAGGCGAGAACATTATACTTTAAAGTGTCACTATATGGTCCATTTACCAATTTAATGCGTAATAAAAAAAACTATGTCCAAAGTTGAGAGGACAACGGCAGCCTGTCTGCAGCAACCCCCTCTCGGCATAGCCATGTTTGGAATAAAGAAAATCAACAACCAGTAAAGGTCAGGAGACATTTTTAATTATAATCTGTTACGTAAATATACAGTCATTTGTTTTCTTTATTTTTTTTTTAAATATATTTATTACTGTTTTTCAAGGCTGCACTTTAAAAAATGAAATTGTCTAGAGCTGTTTGAAACAAAATTTCTTTTTATATACACTCGTGCATAAAAATGACAAAATACATCTAAGTACTTTAAACAGAATTTAACACTGAAATAAAGCGAGGTGTTCATGCATCCATATTATGCATTGACTTTTTAAATAAAAAAATATGAAAAAAAAGTTTTTTCCATTTTAAAATCTAAAGTGCTTTTTTAGATAGAGAACAACAATCGTTCAGTTTGGTATAAAGACAATTTCCTGATTCACATATTTTATAAAACACCTGAACTGACAATTATTTATTTTTTATTTCTTTCTTTTCTTAATGAGAGCAGTGGGCTTTACATTGCCCTGCAAGGCTTTAAAGTTTTTCATGGTGGAGAATCCTGCTTCACAGCAGCAGGTTGAGCCAAACATCCTCTAAATGTTCAGGGTCATCTTTGAGCACCATTTCACTTTTCTTTCACCAGTTCACCACAGTTCTTCCAGCAGTCCACACTTTCTCTGCTTTCTTTTCCTCATCGTCTTCTCCTTGTTTCCCATCGCCCGGCTTCCCACAGGTTTGCCTGCTGTGTCAAAACGTAGCTAACAGCCGCAACCCAGACTGACAGCAGCTCATTGGCTAATTTGTATCACGTGTTTCCTGGTCCCGGATGCTCAGGAGGACTTTACCATGTTAACAGGAGAAGTGGCGCAAATGAAGTTAGACACTAGACACTAGACAATTAGACAACTTCTAAATGTTTTAAATCAGTTTGGGTCCGGATTAGTCAGCCTGTGGGTCCGGATCTGGACCGCGGTCCGCTAATCCTTGAACTCTGGTCTAAACTATTGTAATGTATGTTTAGGTTTGCTTTGAAAGGTAAATCTCACGAGTACTTTTTATTGTCAAAAGGTTTTATAAAAGTTTGCTCTAATTTATTCACATCCGTTGTTCCATTGCTCTTACTAGATTTACTGTTTCTGCAGTTCATTAATGCATTCATTTCACTATTGCCTTGGCGTGTTCAGGGTGATGTGAAGTGTTAGCCTCAATTTAGAATTAGGGGTGGACAATAGACAATAGCTAGATGGGGGGCCAGGGGTGGCCATGGCCACCCTCAGCCAATCATTTGCCACCCATCTGGGCACCCCTACCATTTTTTCCCCCTCTAATACAGACACTGGCATCAGTAATACTATCAAGTGGAATGTTCCAACGTATGTAACATTAAAATTTTTCATGTTAATAGTTACTTGACAACAAAATAACATTGGTTAAATATGCAAATCAATATACAAAGATTAAAGATCATAAATACAGAATTCATGCTCTTTTCAGAACTATTTTGTCTTATTGGGTAAAGAGAAAATTATGTTTCTGCAAGTCATCTATGAGTCTTCAGTGAAATCAGAAATAAATACCTGGTTTAATAATAATTAATCCATTTAATGTGGATAATATTACATGTAGATATTAAATTTATGCAGAACGATTATTGATAAAAGTAGATAAGTAATGACAATAAATATGATGCCCATCCCAGAACTCAAATCTGAAAGAATTTTGTTGACTACACCTTTAATTTAGACATCATGTTTAAATATATTTTTCTATTTGTTAGCAAAGGCTGTAGGAAAGTATAGTTAGTCTTTATTTAGAAAATATGGATGTTGTGGTCGTTCATTTTCCATTTGGAACAGTGGAGATTGACCCTTAGATTATGGAACCCCTCAGTGTACATTGATTATTGCCTGGCCACCCTTATTAAAATGTTCTGGCTACGCCTCTGCAATATATAACTGTATTCATTGTCTCTAATATGACATTTTCAATATTTCAACATACATTAGTCTATCATAGACTTTAATACTGACTTTTCAGATTTTATGTTATATTTTTTTAAAGAAAATATTTCTAAAATGTGATATTGGAGGTTAGAAACTTTAATTGTTGTCAATGTATACAAAGTATAGATAAGGCCGTAAACTGCTAAGAGTGCGCAGAACAGCATCCTGAAAAAATGTTTGATATTCTTTCTAAGCATCTTTATTATATTTATATTGATATTGAAATTATACTGTATGGAGTAAAGTTAAGAAATTAACCAGTCCTATTTAGAATTAAGGCCTCAAAGTTTATTTTGGTCGGATCTGAGCCCCTTCTGTCCCATGTCTGCTTTGCTCCCTTCAAGGCTTGTGGTAAACGTTAAATCTGACTTCTTGTGGCTTTGTTTCAATCTAGGACAGTGACAGATTTGTGGACTAACAGGTGATCTGTAGGCAAATTCTGCACTCTGAATCTGATCCTTTTTTTGTGTTCATTGTGTTCTTTAGGTAACAGAACTTTAGAACAACAAAATGAAAAAAAATCTAAAATTATCAATTTCTTTTAATAACTATGTATACATAGTTGTATTATATACAACGATATATATAATTCTTTTTTGCTGTAGTTTTTCATGCAAAAATGGCTCACAAATAAAAATGTTTAACTGTGATAGTCAAGGCTGCCAAGTATTGCTGCAGAAACCAGAACACACTTGAAGAGGAAATATTCCACTAAACCAAGGATTTAACTCTAGGAGTAGAAACAAAACATGTGAGGCAAAACATAAGCATGCTTACTTTGCTCTGTTAATCCAGGTTCATTTAAATTTATCAACGCTGCTTGAGTTTTGATTTGTGTCACTTGAGTAGACAAATCCTTTAAATCCCTCATGTCATGGTTAGCAGAGATACATCTTTTCCTTGAGTTCTTGAGTGTGTGGCCCTTATAACATCCAAATGTGAGACATCAACTCTTCTTCACATAGAGCTTTTTGCATATTTTCCATTATCAGGCAGTCATTTTTATTAGAACATTAACTGTACCAATGCCCGGAGCAGATGCAAGCACAGTGGGAGGCTGATGAGCAGTAAGTGTGTGTAATTTGGGGGGGGTCTCCTGTCTTGGCAACAGAGTGAGGACCATTTCAATAATTCACGATTAATAATAAGAACTGTTTGTACCAAAGTGAGAATATTTTACTGGTCCATCATATTTGCTTAGCTTGATGACTAAGGTCTGTATTGAGCTTTGGTTAATTATGTCAGGATTTGTTAGTGGATAGATTGACCCAAAGCAGAGGCAGGAAGGCAGAGGTGAATTTCAAGTAGATTTAATGATGATTTAAAAAAAACAAACTGAAAAAAGAGGCAGGTTATCCAAAAATCCAAGATTAAAACCAAAATCCAAATAAACAGGGAAACAGGAATCCAAAAATCAAAAAGAAACAAAGTCCAAACTAACATGAAACCAGGAGTCCAAAGATCAAAAATATGAAAACACAAGTCTAAACGTACCAAAGAACCATGGAGACATCAGGGGAATCAAAATCTCAAGGAGGGAGGCTCACAGAGACGAGTAGGAGGAAGTATGACAGAGTTAGATGAGGACCCAGCAAAGAGGACCTGAACAACAAGAGTATTTATAGGAGAGAGAAACAAAGAGAGGGCTAATGAGCAAACTGACTCTAATGTACTTATCTTCTTGCTCAGTTGTGCAACGCAGCCTCCCACTTCTTTTTCTACTCTGGTTAGAGCCTGTTTGTGCTGTCCTCTGAAGGGAGTAGTACACACTGTTAAAGGAAATCTTCAATTTCTTAGCAATATCTTGCATGGGATAGCCTTCCTTACGAAGAACAAGAATAGACTGTCAAGTTTCAGATGAAAGTTGTCTTTTTCTGGCCATTTTGAGCGTTTAATTGACCCCACAAAATGTGACATTAGTAATGTATGGAGTGTATTTCTTTAGAGTCAAGACTAGTTTAAAGTTATCTTCATTAAAAAGTACAATGCTTTTCCTTCAAAAATAATGAATTTTCAATGTAACCGCAAA